TATGACCTTTTTTAGATTCATTAATTAACAAATTAGTTTTCTTCAAAGATGTCCTGAGAAGAGTTTCGGGATCCAATACAAAGGATGAGTATGTTGTGCTCGATAGAAACACTAGTATTGATGAGGAAAGCATCATTGCTTTAAACATAAACCCCATGCTCACCTATACATACATAAATCATTAACAATTATCACTCATTTTATTTACGAATAAAGCTTGTATTCTAATGTTATTATTTCATGTAACTTTATAATAAACAATTCAAGATTCAAACATAAATATGCTCAAAAATTGGATGACGAGAATTGCATACCACACGAGAATAGGAGGAGGGAATGACCATGGTAGAGATTTGGTCTTTTCCGAGATTCCAAACAACTTTTGAAATTTGGAAATGGAGATAATTTTGTGTACACATGGAAGTCTTGTCCGCTTGTTTTATAGTAGAACTTGACAATAGCATATCTGGCGTAACTTAATGCCAATTCCACACAAAGTTGATGACCAACCTGGGTATGCGACAATGCAAGCCATTAAACAACTCTCTATAGTTATTTATAGGAACAACAACTTGCAGGCAGTTGGTATTTTATCTCAACAATAATAGTCTATCTAGCAATTTCCTTTTTATGCGAAAATTTGTTAGAGATTTTTTGTTTTCCTTTTTCGTTTTTAATATCTGCTAGAGGTTATAACATAATACGGAAATCATATATATGAAAAAAAATGTTATCCCATATATTATATATTTTTCGATGGCAAAGCTGCTTTAAAGTACGTAATTAATTATCTTACAGCACCACGTGGTGTCACTTTTTTTCAACAAAAAATAAGATTTAAAGGTTTTCAGACTATCAAATGCTTTACCAGATCAAGAAATTAATGAGATTTTTATTGTTATAATAATGACTAAAAATGTCAAAAAATAATATATTATCGGCACATAATTTTATTTTTTTGTTTTTAAATGAGGCTCTTCGAAAATTGTTTTTTGCAACATTTTATGTGCATTGTTCAATCAAGTGATTATTATGCATATCAAACAACATATATTACTAAACTATTTCGGTTTGCATGGACGGTCAAACAAGAAACAAAACAAAAAGTTTTCCTCTGACTTATCTATTGATCTTATGGCGATTAAACATTGATGAATTATTTTTAAGGGCAGTATTAATTGATTAATGGTGAACTAATGATATAATAATGGCTACTGTTGCACTAAGATTCAGTGCATCCCATCAATGAGAGCATTACATATCATAGGAGAGAGAGAAAATTTGGCAAAGAAAAGCAAACTTTAGCTAACATATTATATTTCTATTGGTGGGATGTACTGAATCTTTGGTGCAACAGTAGCACCAAAAATTTATTCATAATAATGGGGATATAATTAATGTTAACGTTGCAGGTAATAAATTAGCTCTTATAATTTGTTGATATTTTATGTGCTGGTTAACAAGGATGTTTCTCTAAGAGTTGCAAGAAGATTTTAATTACGAGTATACAAAATAAAGTCTATGGGTATTCCGAATATAAAATTTAAATAGTTAAGGATATGTCCGATATTTCATAGAAAATAAAATTGAAATAAAAAATCAGATAACGGGATTTTGTTTTATGTGGACATTCATTTAGTAGCAAAATGACACATTCATCGCTTGGTGACAAAATAATGTATTTTTTCAAAATCAAACTTTTTATATTGAAATTAATTCTAACAAAAGATATTTCACTCAACCTGATCCCTAATCCTTAACCTAGATGTTCTGAGCTTGAGCTTGAAATCCTCAATTGATTTTGGTGCTGAGCTTTGATAAAATTGTGAGTAGCATTTGCTGTTGAATTTTTTTTCCCAGAGAATAGCTTCCGGTAATCTCCTAATTTTTCTATGGACTAATCCGGAATTTGGTGTGAGTCTTGGATTAAAGCTTTAAACTCCTCTCAAAAATAATGTTGGAAGGATTTAAAACCTTAATCTTGGAGCCCCGAACTCCGAATTAATCCACAATAAACCTATGGAATTATTCGAGGAGGATAATCTCCAAAAAAAAAAAAAAAAAAAAAAATCAACAGCCAATTTGGGTATTGAATTTGAGCGACACAATTTGGGTTCTTTCATTTTGAAAAAATTGGGGCTTTCAGTAATACTGCATTGCAAACATCAATTGTTTCATCCTTCTGCACTTGGATCAAGATTGATATTATCTTGAAAAATCTTTTCTTACTAGGCTCTATTTTGTACAATTTTTGTATATTGTACAATAAACAAAACAAAAGGTTTTGCTGGGACTCATCTATTGATCTTATGGCTATTAAACTTTGATGAATTATTTTTTAGGGTAGTATTGATTCATTGTTGGTGTGTACATTTATCAATGATGGTGTGCTTTAGAACTATATAATTCAAATTCTTTGTCACAGTTCAATTGGTGTGTTCTTTGACTCATTGCTAATTTGCCCGTAAAAATCATCAATTCATCAAACTGTTACTTTATGTTTAAGAGGGAAAAAACATTTATTTATAAAAAAATATAATTGTACTGAAAGTTAAGAGATAGAGTTTGTATTAAAGAAATATACTTAAACTAAGGCTACTTCCATGCATGGCTCCACCAACTAGGCGATAACATGTTAAAACTAATAAGTCTAAAAACTAAATATATAATTATAGTAAAGGATTTCTTCAGTCACCGGAGATAAAATTATCTCCAGTGAGCTCAAAACGAAGTCGTTTTGGGACAAAAATTAAGGTATTTTTGTAATTATAATATATTGCAGGGTTATATATTAGTCTTTATCATTATAATTTTTTAATCTTATAACCCCAAAATGACGTCGTTTTGAGCTCACTGGAGAATTGGAGAAATACTTTTCTCATAATTATAAGTTAAAAGAAAAATGGCTAAAATATCATAATCATTTTTACAAAAATTATAAAAAATAAATAAATATCAATCTAGGGTGCATCCCATTTGTGCAAGATGTACGCCACATAAATTGTTGTAGTAACTTTTACAAAAAAAAGACACATTAATCAACATAAAATATCAATTGATTGTGATAGTTAATTAATTGCTTCCATTGTCACCGTTAAGGCAACAACGTTTCAAATTATATTTTGATAGCTTGTAGTATATTCCTTTAATATGTCATGTGAGATAATTTCAACTGTTCATAAATTAATTAATTATTAAAATTTTCTCACATTTTACCCCAACAATTTTTCTCTCCTATCGCTTATTATTATTGTTGATTTATTTGTGAACAATTGAGATCAGTGTTATAAAAACCGGACCGGTGGATTCGAACCAGAAACTGCTAAGGCTGCGCATGACAATCATTTTATTCCCTAGCACTATTTCTGAAAAAAAATGATTCTTTTCTATTTCTGTGCCTTGGAACAATTCTTAGAATCAAAATTACGTTTGTTAACATATTTTATTTTTGTTCCGAGAATCAGAATTATGTTTGATAACCCATTTTTTTCTTTTTCTTTATGTCTTCGTCTTCTTCTTTATTTTTTTATTTTTTCCCGTTTTCCAAGTTACATATAAATTTCGCAAATGGCCTATATATGGGTAGCCATATCCTTTACACACACAAAAAAAACGCGATAAATCCAAAAAAGTATTGAGTCATATAGGGTCCAATTTTGGAGAGATCCCACCATGTTTAGCTTTCTACTTGCAGCGTATTATTTTGATAAAGAATGTAGCACGATAAAAGCAAGATCCTTCCAGTTTCTACCCTATTACGTTAATAATCATAGCGTTACCAAAGTTTAAAAATGTTCACGATAACTGATCAAGTAGTCATGGAGTAATTATATATTTTGATCAATTTCAAGATTATAGTAGTACACACACAACTATGTTTCAGAAGTGTAATCTTTCAAGAGCCCTAACCCCAATTTAAAAAATTCCAAAATTTGCAATTTCTGTGTGAAGGGAGGGATTTGTCGTCCGATGATATGGTTGAAAACAGTGATGGTTCCGTGTTGGTGTGTGAGCGGATACGGAGTCGTGAGAGTGTGAGAAAACTGATTCTCTTTTTGTGCCTAGGAATAGAGAAACAGAAATTTTTTGATTCTTTTTTTTATTCCCCAGCACACAAAGAAACCGGTTCATCGCGGGAAAAAAAAATCGATTTTATCAAACGCAATTCTCATCCACTTTTGTTCCCGAGAATAAAAATTAAAAAAAAAAAACTCATTCCGGGAAAGTTGTCATGCACACCCCAAACCGACCATGTGACCGATTCGGTTGAGTAATGGATCAGAAATGCAAGTGACTCGGTGTGACCAGGTATGAATCGGAGAGAACAGGCCAATTTTACGAAAATCAATGACTTGCCGGTTCAAAAAGAAGATTGGTTTGATGAAATACACAAAGAAGAAGGAGGAGGAGAAGGTGTCGGAGATAAAGAAGAAAAATGAGTCCAAGACGTCAGAAGAAATATCAACGATGATGTCTGGCCATTGAAGAGAAGATAGTAAGACACAATGAAAAGAGAAGAGCTGAAAACCAGTGCTGAAGAAAGAGAGACACTTAGGCTGCGCATGACAACCATTCTAATTCTTGGCACTGTTTCTGAAAAAAATGATTCTTTTCTATTTCTGTGCCTTGGAAGAGTTCTGAGAATCAGAATTACGTTTGTTAGCATATTTTATTTTAATTCCGAGAATCAGAATTACGTTTGTTAACACAATTTTTTTTTTTCATTCTGAGAATTAGAATTACGTTTGATAACACAATACAAATCTATTTCTTTACTTTTGTTTATTGATTTCATCAACTGTATAAAATACCAAATGACAGATTTTAACCGAAGGGCCAAATTTCATATTTAAAAAAATCTAAAAATTATAAATATTTTATTGTGTAATTTTTTTTACAACAAATGCTAATATATAGTTTTAACCATTATTTTTCAATCCTCTTCTCAATTAATATTTTTTTACAACAAAGGTTTTAAAGAAAAAAATAGATCCAAGAAATTGGGTTGCTATATTACAAGAAATTGCAGGTTTGGAATTGTTTCCCATTGAGAAATTTTCCAAACTCTATAAGTTGAGTTGACTAGAGTAAAAAACAAAAGGGTCAATGGAAGCAGCTGAATAGTCAAAAAAATAAAAACTCAGCAACATGAGTTTTTTAATGGCATTTATCATTTTTACATATGAATTGGTAGGAGAGAGAAGAGCAACAGCAACAGAGTAGTACCTCGAATATGAATCTGTCGAGAAAGAAGCGAACGGTGTGGAAGAAGAGAGCCAAAAAGGGTAGAACGGAGAAATCCCGAAAGTCCGGGTAGGATTCTTGGTGCCAATCAATAGAGCTCAGTCGTTGAACCCAAGCCATTGACGATGGAGATGGTGTTGGCTCAGTGATTTTCTCGGGAAACAAACAGAGAACTGTTTGCCTTTTTCAAAGCTTCTGCGTCAAAGTAGAATCCATTTGAGAGGTAGGATTCATAAAAAGCATATAAGCATATCTGTTCTATTTCAATTATCTTGATTAGAAACATTGATGATGGTGCTCTATATAAAAGACGTAATCTTTTTCAAAGCTTGGGGCCTAAGAGATTTATGTGTAATCTTTGAAGAGCCCTAACCCCAATTTCAAAAATCGCAAAATTTCATCAAATTCTGATCGCAAGAGAGAGAGAGGAAAGGAGACCACGAACTTCTGTGGTGAAGGGAGGGGTGGTGGTAAGGTGATATGTGGTTGAAGGCCACTGACAGTTCGGTGTTGGTGTGTGAGCGGGAAGGAAGTCGTGACAGTGTGAGAGAAAACTGATTCTCTTTTTGTGCCCAGAAATAGAAAAGCAAAAAAAATTTGATTCTCTTCTTTTCCCCAGCATAAAAAAAAGACCGGTTCATCCGGGAACAAAAAAATAAACCGATTTTATCAAACGCAATTCTCATTCATTTTTGTTCCCGGGAAGAGAAATTAAAAAAAACTCATTCCGGGAAGATTGTCATGTACCCTTATTTGTTTGGTTTTTTATGCACCACACGTTTCTTATCTTATCTCCTTCTTTTTCAAATTTTTTATTATTTAATTTGATAGAAAAGTTGTTTTCATTTGTTTGATTTTGAAAAGTTGAAATTTGAAATTTTGAAAGCCAGTGCTTAAGAAAGATAAAAGTTGAATTTTTGAAAACCTACGTGGAAGAAAGTGAAAATAAGAGCCATTTGTTTTTATTTGTTTGATTTTGATACTATAAATATTTATTTTTTATGACATTTTTTTTAAATTGAAATATGAAATATAAAATATAAATTTTAAATTTATATATATTTATCCGGTTCAAACGGTTGAACCAGTGATCCAGTACCTCGACCGATTCGATCACCGGGTCGAGTCTACTAACATTGATTGAGATTGTATCACATGACCTGATAAAAAGATTATTAAACACTCTATAATTAAAAAATAACTAAAATAATATTACTTTATTATTCAAAATTATTAAAATACTAATTTTATTTATTTTATTTAAAATAAATGATGTGATATAGACTGGGCTGTAGGCTTATAGGCCCAACATGTACAAAAAGCCTATGACATGCTTTTTAAATAGGTTTTTTTTAAAAAAAAGTCTAAGTCTGTTCTATTTGATTATTTGTAGGGTATGCATGACAACCTTCCCGGAATCAGTTTTTTTAATTTTTGTTCCCAGGAATAGAAATGGATAGAAAACTCGTTTGGCAAAATCAGTTTATTTTTTCATTCCCGGGAAGAACCGGTTCAATTTTTGTACTACAGAACAGAAAAAAGAATAAATTTTTTTAATTGGCCTTGGTTCGTTTAGAAAATATGGTTTGAGGTACGATATGTGGAGGAAGTAGATATAAATTGAAACCGGCTCCTCAGAATTTGGTGACTTCAACTCCATTAACAACCACTTAGTTGCGGTGGTCCCCTTCGGACCGCCCGACATGGAAATAGAAAAATGGATGTAGCTCCAGTTATTTCGAAAATGGTAAGATCTTTGGCGCAAGAACGCAAAAAGAGGGGTTGATCCGTTTTGCTTTTTTGTTCCCGGGCATAAAATGAGAAACATTTATTTCTCTCAATCACTCTTCACCGTTATGATCATCATCACCACCATCATCATCCTGACACGACCACCGCCATCATCGTCATCGCCGTCGTTGTACCCCCAATGTTATCGTTACTACCACCACGACAACGACAACGATGCCATCGCCACCACCTCCATCCATCGCCACCATCACCACCACCATGTCACCATCATCACCACCACCATCACCACTATCATCATCGTCACCAACCACCACTACCATCATCGCAGCCACTGTTGTCACTACCACCACCACCATGCCGCCACAACCACCACCATCACCACAACCACGCCATTGCCACCACGACGCCACCACTGTCATTAACCACCACTACCATTGCCGCAGTCACTACTCTCACCACCACCACCATGCTATCACCACACCATTGCCACCACCACCGCCACTAACATCAACCACCACCACCATTGTTGCAGCCACTGCTGTCTCCACCATCACCATTATCACGCCACCACCAACCACCACCACCATCATCGCCACTATTACCACCACCATCGCCGCAACCATTGTTGTCACTACCACCATTACCATTACCATCTTCACACCACTACCACAATCACTACTGCTGCTACCACCACCTCACCATATGAAAAAGAAAGTGATGATCCGAAAACTTTTTATGCTCAATAGAAATTATTTTTTATTATATTATTTGTTGTGTTATCAAAAGTAATTCTCATTCTCAGAATAAAAACATGTTATCAAACACTTTTTTTTTCTCAAAAACTATTCCAATGCACAGAAATAGAATTGTTTCTTTTCAGAAACAGTGCCAGGGAACATAATGATTGTCATGCACACCCGTAATAGGCCAAATCTGGTCTAATACAAGCTACGACGTAGGCCCTTGTAGGCCGATCTAGCCTATTTACACCCCTACTTGCTATACGATACAATCTCAAAGTCCTTCGGTTTGTATTTTTAGATTATAAGGGTATCAAACTAAGTAAGTTCCATATTATGGAAAATAACTTGATAGGAAAATAACTTGATTGTCGAACCTTGGTGCACACCTACCGTACGTAATAGGAAAATAACTTGATGTTCCATTATAAGTTTTCACACATGTAGTAGCCCTATCATACATATCCTTGATTGCCTTTACATACTTTGATGGTACTTTTTTCTTCTCAAGAACCTACCACAAAACTTTCCTTAGAATCATATCATATGTTTTCTCAAAATCTATAAACACCATATGTAAGTCCTTCTTCTTTTCTCGATATATTTCCATTAATTGTCGCATCAAGAAAATGGCTTCCATGGTACATCTTCCTGGCATAAATTCAAATTGATTCACAGAAACCTTAGTATCTTTCCTCAAGCGATGTTCAAAAAATATTTTCCTCTCTCATTTTGTCTCTATTAGGGACAAAAAATATTTTCGTCTCTATTTGAAATGGAAATATTTTCTATCAAAAAATTAGTCATTATTCTTGATGGAATTGATTTTTTTGAAAAATTCTGTTGATAATGTATGATTTTCTAATAGCGTAAATTTGATGTCAAACTAGTGTCATTACATCTTAGGAAGTGTAGATGTGGAACCACGAAGAAGAAAAATAGGTAGCAAACATCTTCGCACCAAGCTAGAAAATTATCCTTTTCAATTCATGGTTGAAGTTATTTTTTCGCCAAGTCAATAATGTTACACCATATGGAACGATTGAAATTTCATATTTCAAGAACAAGTTTGTGGTGAATGGCCAAAGACTCAAGCATTATCGTGGACATGAAAATATGAGGAAGAAGGTAAATGTCTTCTTTCTTGAAGATGCATGATCAAGGGGAGAAATGAGTTTGAGAGAGAAGGGTTTAGAGGTGCTTGAAGTATTACACCAAGAAATATCAAGTTTGGAATGCTCGACAATATTACCTCCAGCTTAGGAAACCACAATGCAAGCTATTGGGCTCCAGCCCATATAGACCCAAATAACCATACTTTCACCTATTGGGCTTGTAGGTGAATATATTATTGGATTATATTATTAATATATCCAACAAAAAAGTCATGCCATGACTTTAACTAAGGCACTATGGAGAAAACCACTGAAAAAGAAGAATCATGTATAAAGTAAAGTCACTTTCGGTAATTTTTGTCAACATGTTCATATTGAATTGCAGCCTAAAAGAAATTAGGATTTTCATATTTTGCATTGTTGGAATTGAAAACAATTGCACTACCTTATGCCTATAAATACCAGGTCTTAAAGATGCATGGTCAAGGGGAGAAAGTCATGCCATGACGTTAACTAAGGCGCTATAGGGAGACAGCCCTAAGAATTTTCTTTTTGTATGCTAGGATCATAACCGCATCAAAATTTAGCTTAAAGTCTTGGTGGACGACAAAGATCAAAATAGAGTCTAAGAATTCCAAGGCAGTATCTCTTCATCCCCTATTTTACTATTCTCTTCTTATAAATTTGAGGATGTAACAGCCCGTTACGTACCGGTAATGTTATCATTGCATATGGTATTAAGCGCAGTTGCAATCACAGTAATTGAGTTAATTAAATTACGGGTAAACTTTTTCTTTCATTACATTCTTTTCTCTAAACATAAACCGTTTCCGTAATCAATTAAAACAACGCCATAATTGTAAATGCAAAACTCGCGGAAGCATAAAACATACCAAATATAATCTCTCTAAGCAATACCATTTATTTTAGATTTTAGAAAACACATTTTCAAAGTTTAACACAGTGGTAATCGATTACCATCCTTGAGGTAATCGACTACCAAAGGTTACTGTAGAAGTCAGAAGCTCAATTTGGGCTCCCCTGTTTTCTGGTAATCGATTACCAGAGATTGGTAATCGATTACTGATTTAGGTAATCGATTACCAATCTCTGGTAATCGATTACTTTGATCATAGTAGCTCAAATTTTCGTCCTCTGTTTCAAGTAATCGATTACCAATGAAAGGTAATCGATTACTATGCAGTAAAAATGACAGATGACAGCTTTAAGGACACAAAATGAGTGATGTAACATACTCCTAACACCTTGATACTTAATATACACCTTACACAGGTACTAATGTAGGCTCTAGGCCCTTCCATCATGCATATTTATTACGAGTGCATCCATTACAACCATTTGCAATATCATAGCCATTTTACACCACCAATGGTCTATTTACAACTCAAGTCTTCAAATGCCTCAAAATACAATTATGTGGCCGTGGACAAGTCTCATGCTCACTCAAAATACAAAAATAACAAGAGGCATAACTATACATCAATTTTTAAAGGACTTAACATATAGTCATAAATATACAAGAGCATGGCAATATCCACATGCAACAAGTTCATATCCTAAGTCCAAAATATCACATACTATACTATGTACATCAATTGGAATCCTTCAATATGACATGCCCTCCAAATGCTCCTCACGCTCTACTCTTCCACTAAGCGGGCCTCTTGCCCGGAGATCCACCATGCTCAACATGACCTGAAATGATGTCCCCAAACGCGGGGTGAGATATACAAATATATCTCAGTAGACCAAGGGTACTTGAGGATCACTCCACCTCATGGCTCACTCAATGTGCATACAATGATCATCATATAAAATGCATAACATACAAATATCACACATCAACTGGGCACAAATCCAAGGACATCCACATCAGGATTCCCTTAAGGGGCCGTTTGGTACATGGCTTATCTTAGGATTCCCGGGAAAATAATTTTTGTAAATTTTAAATTTTTAGATATTATCGTAAACTGAATGTAAAAATCATATTTTTGAAAATCGAGATTCCCGGACAAAAAAAAATTTCTCATGTACCAAACGCCCCCTAAGGACCCCATCATATAACTCCCGGAATCTTCCTGGTGCCTCTCCCATGGTTGAGACGACCCCATGGCAAAACCCAACTGGAACTCCTCATGAGCCCTATCCAGCGGAAGTCCCACGTTTGGATCATCCTGGTACCGCTCCCAGAGTCGGCCCCACGGCAACAACCCGACCGGAATCCCCAAAGGATATCTCCAGCGGAAGTCCAAACCAACACACATCTACTGGCCAGAGATCACAATTATATCACACAACATGCTCCAAGCATGTCACACAATCATGTCAATAATGCATGAACATACATTTATACATAATCAAAGGCATCAAATCCAACCACAACCTTCCACTAGGTGTGGTGGAACACACGAGGGAATAAAACCCAAGTTCCAAAGATTTACCTCAACACTAAAGCCAATGCTCCAAAACGTATGCTCCAAGTTAATTCTCCTCTATTGAGTCCGAGAGAGGAAACCTATAATGATCAATCAACATGATCATCAATACAATTTCAAGACAACCAATTCACTTTCAAAATACAATAATTCTCAACAAACAACTTAGGCCTAATGGCCAACTACATTTACTCCAATTACTTCAACCATTTTAGTCATTAAACTAAATCACCATTTATGCACTAAGGCATCACTCATTGGTTATACCACATTTTCCCATCATTTTCCTTATTTCCTTCAATATGGTTGAAATCTCACACGCACAACACATCCAACATTCCTCCTTTCAATTTCACTACATCAAACCAACCTACCATTCATTTAAACACCAATCACGATCATATAACATCAACTATATCATTTTTACATCATCTAACCATCCATGACCTAAATAGGTCGAATTCTTCATTCTAGGATTCCAAAGGATTTTCAATCCAATTCAACACTTACACATGTCATACAATCCCCTTATAAACCTATACCAATGGTTCATGATTCAATTGTTCAATTACACCACATACCAATTTCATAAAGTCTAGAAACTCATCACAAAATTGCCTAAGTTATAAATTTACAAATCACCATAATTTTTATTGCATCAATCATCATCATTTATCATTCTAAGCATTTAATTACATAGGAAACATACCATTTAATGCTCCTAACTACCCTAACCCAACTTACATCATCAAAAACCCTAACCATTATATGATCTCATTTAAAACAAAGTGAGGGTGAGAAACCTTACCACCAATAGCTTCCAATGATCCTAGGGATTGATCTCCAAGCAATGAATCAACCCTAAAGTCACCAAAAATTCTCCAAAATCCTCCAAAACCGCCGCTGAACATGGGGTTTTTCTCAAGATGTGGTGGTTTTCATGGCTTAATACTACTACCAATGGATTAGGAAGGTTGTTTCCAACAAATTTCAAGTCAAGAATCACTTGAATCGGTCAAGAAATGAAGAAGTTACAAGAATGGGAAATTTTTTGTCTCTCACGACTATGGAGGAGAAGCAACACGGGGAAGAAGAAGAAACTAGGAGAGAGAAGGTGTAGAAATGGTGACATATAAGTCACTTAAGTCATAGGTGGGTCCCACATGCGATTTAACTTTAATTAATCACCTAATTTAAACCACAAATTCATAACCTACATATTTTTCTCGTTCGCGTCATATTTTTGATTCCTAAAAATACTGATCAAAATTTCACACTTATCGGTACAGTTCTACCGCAGTATTTTACACCGAAAAATCACTATTCACCCAAAATTTTCGAAACTTGCCTTCACACTCGATTTTTCGTTCTGAATCCAATTTCGGCATTATTTTTACCATTTTAGGTCTTCTACTCAATTTTTCATGCCTAGGGATACGTGTTTGGTAAATTACCATTTTGCCCCTTTCACACAGTTTGGCCTTAATTTCCGGATTTTCTCTAATCCTACCCTTTTAATTCACATTGTAACATATAAATTCATATTTGGAATTACGAGGTGTTATAGAGGACAAATTGTAATTTAATTGTGGGAGTATGGGAGAAAATTTTAAAATGTTATTTTCTATTTTTGCTATATGACTTGATTACCATTACAATTGTAGTAGGTTGCTTTCTAGGAACTATGAAACCCCGGAATGGATGAAAACAAATACTGTGAGAATTGAAAAATATTGAATCATGAACTTTATTGTATCGGTGTTTTTGACACTAGCAATGCATGAAAGCATTTCCATATTTGTTATTCTTGAATAAGTATGATAGTTATTGATTTAAGGAGTAGAAAATTGAGGTTCATATCCATAATCGGCAGGGTTTGAGCCTAAATTAATATAATCTTCTTTTGTGCGCACATCATTATTTGAAGCACTCTAGAACTTGCTTTTTTCCTCCTTGAGATGATATTTTGCATGCATTTTCTAAAATGATAAAGGCAAATGTTTTATATAAACTAGTTGGCTGAATAGATCACCTGATGATATTGTCAATTGTTTAACCCTTTGAGCTTTATTCCTAAATTCTTATAATGTCCTATTATACTATTCAGTCATATCCACATAGAAGTCCTTACCTTCCTTCAGATTTGAAAATGGAATACATTGAAAAGACTAAGATATGTACTTCACGGAATATGTTTTGAATTGTACATTGGAGAAACTAGGTAAAAAGAAGAAAAATAATAAGTTGGATGTAAAAATATGTTCTCTTCTAAACAAATTCCTTCCTTTTTTTATATTAGCCATCCTTCCTAAACAGATTCCTTCCTTTTAACCAGGTCACATTACAACTCATTGAAAGATCTTTTGATTAGATTATGCATGCTATTTTACTATGAAGAGTGAGAATATGATTAGGCGTGACAAAACGGGTCGACACGACATGAACATGAAATCACTCAACTCGTACACGACATGTTTTCGTTCACGGGTCAAAAACTCAAACCCGAATACAACGCGTTGCGGATCGCGAGTCGACACGACACGACACAAAAAAATTAAGAATTTTTTTTAAAATAAAAAATTAAAAAGATACAAAAAAAACTGAAATGACACGTATACCCTCGGATTAACACGACACGAAGAAGATTTTATAATGTGAATTACCAAAAATATCCCCAATATAAATTGACATGGGGTCACGTGGGTGAACCCGTGACACGACACGACACTATTTCGTGTCAAAAACTCAAACCCATATACGACATATTTGAACCCGCGGGTCGACGCTATATGCGTTTTGACCTGTCGAGTCGAGGGTCATAAGTTATTTTGCCACCCCTAAATATCATCAAGCTTGTGATAGTGTTATTTTAGTGATGGAAATTGAGTGAAACACGTACCCTTAAACACTTGAGAGTTGAGCGTATTGAATATCTAAGTGAGGGAGTATTGATCTGAATTTTGTACTCCCCTTTTAAGAATGCTACTTTCTATCATTCTAGAATTAAGTAAATTGTTGATGCATGCTTTATGTGATGCTCATTTTTTGAGTTATAAGAACACACACCTGTTAATGCTTGACATGTCCATTCACATTTCCTAGTTATAAGACACTAAGTTATTATTTTGAATTATTTTTGCTTAAGGACAAGCAAAATATTAAGTGTGAGGGGTGTGGTAACTATATTTTATAAGGTTATCTTACTCTTGTTTATTACATATATTTCTTGTTTACCTAACTATTTGGAAAAATAAATGGCTTATTTTTCACATAAATTGATAGAGTATGATGAAATGGACTTATTGTGTTATTTGTGATGTTTTCTAGGAGAAAATCCAAAAGATTTTTGCTTAAATTATTCTTCAAACAAATTATCATGTCATAGATTATGTATTTAGATCTCAAGTTGTTCATGGAAATTGTAGACCGTTCTCTTAGCTTTCCAACGAGATCAATACTGCATCAATTGGATAACTATAGCATAAGTTATTACCAAAATATGAAGAGATGTGCAACTTCAGCCTATCATAGTGCCTGGGCTCCCACTAGCTAGCTCCTAGGCGATCTGGTCGCAAAATAAGACCTTGTCTCGAGAATATGAGCGTCTAGGTGTGCAACGCTGAGGCGCCCAACGGCTAAAATAGTAATTGTTCTTGGGTTTCCTAGCGTTTGAGCTCCCACCAGCCAGCGCCTAGGTGTTTCGATCGCAAAATAAGACATTGTCTCGGGAATATGAGTGCCCAGGAGCCAAGTATCCAGCACTTGGGCACCTGACCCAAAAAAAAAACTTCATCTCAGATATTCTAACGCCCAGTAACTAGCGCCTAAGCGTTGATACGTTGTAAAAATGACAGTGCACGACTTTTAGGTTAGTCTTTAGCATGAGGAATGATGACTAATAAGGATTCGTGAGAGGAGAATTGCACCAAAAGTCAAAGAAGGTGGGAGACAACATTGAACCATCATTTAACCTTCATCTCTTCAATCACCACTCATCCACGGAGGGGAGAAGACACACTATCATGATTTGGGCGTAAGTCGTTTGACCAAGAAAAGGTAAATATTCTTTCTTTCTTTAATCTTGTTTCAATGTCTTGCATCGTGAATTTGTTTTGTTGTTTCTTTTCTACTATGAACTAAACTTTTTATTCTACAGTTTCAATGTAGCCTAGTCATATAAACCTTAAATCTATTTTGTTACCTTTTAATTTAGAGTAAACACCATTTTTGGTCCCTGGCAATATCTACGAAATCCTTTTTAGTCCCTGGCAATAAAAAAGGACCAAATTGGTCCCTAAAATTATGAAAAAAGGGCCACGTTAGTCCTTATGTCAACTCCTCCGTCACTAACGTGGCCCTTTTTACATATTGTTAGGGATCAATTTGGTCCTTTTTTATTGTCAGGGACTAAAAAGAATTTCGTAGATATTGTCAGGGACCAAAAAGGGTGTTTACTCTTTAATTTATGAATTTGATCGTTTATTTTAATCTTGCTCTTAATGCTTTTGTGTAGTTGATTGTTATTGTAGATTTATTGATGGTAAATCACATCATTCTTATAAACAATTGATTGTGAGATCCTTATGAATTCGAATAAGGGATAAGGATTAGTCATAGGTTGGAATTGTTAGAATCTATGTTAATAATTCATTGGTTATGAATAAGAAGTGGGTTAATAAAGAAAAGAGAAAAGGGAAGATGAAGAGGTGTGTGGGTTTTAACAAGTCTCACATTGGAAAACTAATAGGAAGTGTGAGATTTTATAAGCTCTCGCCTCACTCTCCTAGATTGACCCTTGGGTCACTACACATTTTGTGGAGGGGGAAGAGCTAGGTAGGCTTTGGTCCACAACGCACCTGTCGTCCGTCCTCGGTTCGGTTCGGTTCATATGTGTGTAATAAAAATAATTTTTTATTAAATAATTTTTTAATTTTTTGACCAAAAAAGTATCTGTTGCTTCCCTCCAAAATTTAAAACCGAAAACGTTTCTACCCGCCAGTTTTTTGAGAAATTTTGAACCAAACCGGTTCTTTCCTTTCGTGAACCGGTCACCGGTTGTGTCTGCACACCGAACCGGTCAATGATTGTACCTGTCCGCCGAACCGGTCATCGGGTGCACCCATTCGCGGCCGTCAGACACGGCGGTTCATCGTGATTGGTCAGTGTCTAGAAATAGACACTGACACTAGGGGTGTTAACGGGCCGAGCCGAGCCGAGCTTTGATCTTAAAAGGCTAAGTCTGTGTTTAAATGTGTCAACCTGACCAAGCCTGTTACCTGTTATAAATATAACTATCGGCCTGTGGCCTGGCTTATTTACAAAAAATAAAAGCCTTGTTTAGCCTGTTTTAAAAAAATAAGACAACAAAAATTTATCCAAACAGAATACACAATCAACAACCCTAGTAATTCCATAAATATTCATAAATTCAATTTATATCCAAACAACATAATATAGAACCATACCTGCGCAGCCCCAGTCAAAGTTATGGCAAATATCCGGGATATGATGGGTTCATCAATCCCTCAGATATACATATCTGTGTCGAATGCATCTATATAGACCTGTGGGTCCCGACTTCCATCATATTCCGGCAAGCATGCCGAATCAAAATCTTCCAAGAATGGAACATTCAGTATTTCACCAGTGAAGGGACTGTTATTGTACTGCCCTTACTATAATTCCTCCTATATGCGCCGGGTTCCACGCATCCTCTGACGGGTGAGGCATCTTGATTAAGGTGCGTCCCATCCCGACTCATCCGCATATTTGCTCCTATCGAAGCGTTATGGACCATAGGTTACGTGTCCGTATTCTAGTTGTTCACTCTGTGGTCTCCCAGATTTGGGCCCACAGTAGTTTCGAGATTTAGCAAACTCGTTGGCCCTCCTTGGTGTTCAGCCTCTGCAGTCCGGGCTTGATCAGCCGGGTTATGATTCCCATTGCGACCATTGGCATCATGACCTTGGATCCTTTCTGATCCAGGTCCTCCCATCCCCATCAATTGCTGCTCCAAATCCTGCATTCTCCTCACGTTTTCCTCCTGGATTCTCTTGAAATCATCTTGTCGTTGGAGGTTATTACGATTCTCCATATCTTCTATACGGCGCAGAATAGCAGCAAACATGTTCTGATTTAGGCGGGAATCAGGATCTGCAGCCTGTGCAACATAGGCAGATACTTCCATAGGGTTCTGAGGCAGAAGACTATTGGGAGCTGGATCAACAACTCGGTTGCGAGGGGCTGGCGTAGAGACTGTGTCTGATACATCCTCGCTGACATGGATCGCATCATAGTCCACCTCGTTTTCCTGTTGTTGGGGAGGTTGATTCACCTCTTCCAAAACGGGATCCAGCGGCTGGTTTGGAGGTTATGGTTGTTGGCTATTGCTCCTTGTACGGACTGTCATCTTCAATCACGATTGTGGGAATATCAAATTTGTCGATTCCCCACAGACGGCGCCAATGTTCTATCTTGGAGACAGAGATGTCCAGGCTCCAGCCCAATGGACTGGTATGTTGATATTGGATCTGGTGCCTTCTCCAAGGTATCTATGAAAGAGATGCTTTTGAGTTAAGCAGATCACTGTGCATAATGAATGAATAACGGCTTTGTCAATGGGGATGTGTGTGCACATAGTGACAACATAACAATAAAAGAGAGAGCGTAACGTACCTTTAGGTTTTATCTCTTATTTATAGGATTTACCTGTGGGTAGTAGAATATGGATCTTTAGTGCCTCTGATAAGGGCCCAAGCCCATCTGTCATGTTGTCATATTAGGATTAGTATCCTTGATGGATACCTTTCCATAGTTTTTTTTTTTTGAAATATTCCAATCAGTTCATTGTTTCGCAACTAATCCGATTCGGGGCGCGTCCATAATTAAGGCTTTAAACTCATCTCAAAGGTGGTATTGGGGAGATTCGAACACATGCTCTCATCCCACCTGCTTAGATACCTTTTCATAGTTATGCTTGATTTAAATTTTAGATTGCCTCTTGTTGAGCCTGTCGATCAATAGACCCCTTATACGGGTCCAATTTAAGGGCTGTCCCAAATTCAATTAATAGATCTATCAGAGTGTAAAATTGTTAAAGTTGATGAGTTGAACATTGTTGGTTGATTGTGAAGTTGTGATTTAAACTATATTATGATTCCAATTTGGCGTTTCGTAGTGCCTCATATTTCCAATTTTACGATGTTTTTATGTACGCTCAAACGTTAAAAAGCATAAAATGTCGGAGTCGATAAGGTCACATTATATTGGGACCCTTATTTCTGCTCATGCATTTTATATTTTACTAATTGTTATTGTTATTGGGATTAATTTATCATTGGATACGGCGTTTTAAGGTCCCATTATCAATATCAAGTTATAGTGGTAGTATCAACAATGGCCGATCTCATCTTACCCATGAAGATTTGCATTCATGTACCGTAATACAGAAAATTTATGCATAACTTACTAATAATAGTTTAACTAACATATTTTGTAGAGCATGATGACAGGGTAGTTTGAGTAATTAGGTGTCACATTTAGGGAGTCAAATTGTTTTTCATGTTATAAAAGAAAAATAATTTTTTTTAAAAGGGGTGAGATATTGTAACAACTAATTAAGATTATTACTAATGTTATTACCAATCAATTTCACCGTTAGATCAATTATGTTGATCCAACGATTATATTAGTTTTCATCTTTGTATGGTTATGATTTTTCATATTTAATACTTCATATTTATTTTCACTTTGTATGGTTATGATTTTTCATATTTAATGTTTTCACATTAAATATGAGAAATCATAACCATACAAAGATAAAAATAAATATAACCTTTAGATCAATACAATTGATCTAATGGTAAAATTGATTAATAGTAATATTAATACTAATCCTAATTGATTATTATAATATTCTAACCCTTTTTAAAATATCATTTACTTTTTATGCTAAATTCTAAGGGGGTGTTTGGTTCAAGTTTTTGGAGAGGATTACCGATAATCCTTCTTTGGTAAATGTAATTACCACGTTTGGTAGAAGGAATAAGTTACGATCCCGGATATCCAAGGATTACCGGTAATTTGATTTATAAAGAAAAGTCATTATTCAGATTACCAAAAATAATATGGTAATTCGGAATACCAATCAGAATACCAAGTAAAGGGAAAGCACAACAATAAATTTTGAGACAAAAATACCCCAATACACATAAAAATCTAGACCCAATCTATCAATTATAAAAGTAAAAATAGTTTGGGGTTATTTTTGTAAAATAACCTCATATTCCAAGTCATATTTCGTTCTAAACCAAATATGGAATCAGTAATTTTTACCCAGTATTCCCGGTAATATTTTGGCGAACCAAACACATCTTTCGTAAGATTCCAAGTAAACTCAATTTCTACTGAATTCCCATTAATCATGATTCCTGGTCACCAAAAAATTTCTCCTGTACCAAACACACCCTAAAAGAACATCGAATTGGAGGAGTTTATCTCGTATATAGGAAAAGTGTTTTTCCATATTATATTAGGGTAGAAACGTTTCATATATCTTTTGGTTTCATGTAAATCCATCTCTGGGATCTGAAACAGGATATGCTCGCTTACGTGGTGCTAAATGACCTAATAACTTTTCAATTCCTTCTGGTTATCCAGCTAGAAAGGGTAAGGTTATCTTTTCAACCGGCTCATTGAGGCTCAAATCGTCTTTTAAGAAGTTAAAGTTAGGGGTAAAACCGATAACAAGTAAATCACATTTTTTTAATACGAAAGTAGTTGGATGACAAAACCGTAATCCTACAAAAATTCCATATATTATTATAACCATGTGGGGACCACCACCCCACCACACCAACAGCCAAGCAATCTCTATTTGAAATCTAAGAGGGAATAAAATAAAGATTTTTTAATATAAATAATTTATCTACATTAATTTTAAAATGATGTTATTTTAAAAGGAAAATTAAAATATTTTTATTATAATTTATTTTAAGGTTAAAATAGTCTTTTTTATTATAATTTTTAAAATTTTTAATTCAAAATAATATTATTTTAGAAGCCAATATAATAATTTATCTATATTTACTGTAGAAACATTAAAGTCATAAAATAATTAAATAATAGTTTAGAATATTTTTTTCATCAGTATTTTAAGAAAAAATCATATATTATTTTAAAGGTGTAATTTTAAGTCGTTTTTAATTAAATTATATTATTTTTTGTGTATTTAGTGATTTTTATGCTCTTCTTTCATAAAATCTCCTACTCTCACCCACTATAAATTTCAGAATAATCCGTCGGTCATAGAACAGAAAAATAAATTTTTTTCCTATATAGACAATATTTTTGAAGAAATAAAAAACCGTAAGGAGAGAAAAAAAATAATATATGAGACCCACTAAATATCCTATTCTCACCCAACATAAATTTTAGGATAATCAATTGGTCATTTAACAGGATAATAAAAATTATTCCTATAAAGATAATATTTTGGAAGAGAGAAAAAATAATACATGAGACTCACAAAATATTTTTATTTTATTTTACTATTACATGACCGATAAATTCTCTTCATTTTTATTGTAAACCATTTCTCTCATCATAAAATACAATAATTTTGTTATTAAAAAAAAAAATACAATAATTTTAATTTAAAATAATATAATTTTATATTCTTTAAAAGTGAAAATCCTTTAATTACCAAAAAAAATAAAAATAAAAATAAAATTAAAATCACAAATCCTTACCCATTTTAATATGAAAAAATATTTGTCATTTTAAATGGTATAAAATTATATTATTTTTAATAAAATTATATTATTTTAATGTACTTTTACATTCTCTTTCCTTCATTTTCGTTTTTTCTTAATTTATAATTTTTTTTTGACAAAACATATTAAAATAACATAATTTCACTAAAAATAATATAAAATTATATCATTTAAAATAATAAACAAATTTTTTTTAATATATTTGTTTCTTTGGTTTCTCCTCCTTCGATTTTCTTTCTATGGAGTACCGTTCTTTTTCTCTCTCATGGCTTCTTCGCAAATCCGAATTTTCTCTCTCTAAAACTTTCTCTCTCCTCTTCTCTGTCTTAAAATTCAGTTTTTTCTTTTCTTTTTCCAAGAAAGTTCATTCTCATGGCTGATCTGTGGTTGTGTGTTTGTTAATTCCTCTATGATTCTATCCATTTATCGTACACAGTGAGTTCTTCCTCTTTTCTATATATTTTTTTACAATTTTTCTTTCTAATTCTTCTTGTTGCGTTCGTTGCATCAAATTCGTAGGTTGTAAGAAAACTGAAATGCAGCTAGAATTATGTTTTTTTTTTCATTTTTTTTTCTTTTATGATCGGTTTGTATATAAGAGAATGAGGAATGAAAATTGTCAATGGTTTGAGTCGAAGCAATAGTTTATAGGGATATTACAATGAACACAATCTGAGATTATGTTTCTTGTATTATTTCTGAACAAGTTGTATCGAGCGTGACGTTTTGTTGATATATGATTGTTATACCTTCAAAGGAAATAACTTTTATGGACAGATTATGAAGATGACCTCTTCTTCTTCTTCTTCTTTTAATGCTTTGATTTCATTGATATTTTTTGTTTTTGTTAATGAATTTTTTTGTATATATATATATATATATATAAAAGTTATTTTACTTATTTCTTTTTCCGATTAGGCTAAAATTCTTATGCAGCAGCCCATAGTTATCATCGTTTTGTTAGGATCAGAGTCTTGTTAGGAAGAATGGTTTTCTGATCAGCGTTATATTTGATTGCTGGGTAGATTGGATGAGCAAATACCACAAAGCGTTTGGGTCTTAGGGTCCGATTGGCTGACAATGAAGTGATAATTTCATTGTTGAGTTTGCACAGTGAAATAATATAATACTTTATTTTCCTTTTATTGCACTTTCCAAGATCATACACTAGCACCCATACTGACACGGGACACGTGACACGATACGACACGACACTACGACACGTTAATTCTAAAAAATGTTAGATTTCGACACGTTAGGACACGTTTTGATATTAAATAATATTTTTAATTTATATAGTATATATTATATTTAATATTCAATAATTTAACAAAAAAATGAAACTAAACTTATAATATTTATCAATTTTGCAAAGAAACATAAGATATCCCAAATATTTATATTAAACTCAATAAAATGTTAATCGTAATCCAACGAATCTAATAGTTGGAACTACAAACTCAACATAACGAAACCTTTGAACTTTTTTTGAATTTCTATAACGCGTGTTGAAGTGTCAGGGAGTGTCGGACACGACACGTCAGGATTTTTGAAGTGTCGGTGCTTCATAGATCATACATACATATAAACTACATATGCACCCACATATTGATCATTTGGTGTTCAAGGGTGCAAATTATAGGAGTTTTAGAAAAGCACTAACATTTATATTTTCAACTGCAGCTTATCGCCTGGTTTCCAATATATGGGCTGAATTGAAAGTCAATGTAATCAAAATGGATTTTACATCTTATATGCTAATGGCATCAACCAAGTCAACTGGGGTTCTGAAGGTTGCAACATGTTGACAGACTGCTTGCTGTTTGTGGATCACTTCTACAATGAAAAGTGGATTATTGATGATATTGAATGCTTCATGCTACCTTTTAATACTAATCCACGTCTGCAAACTAAGTACCAACACTGCGTTGACAGTTAGACATCTCTTAATGGAGTCCATTCCAGTCTCTCTGAAGTGTTATTGGTTATAGTGTTGTAATTGTAATAATGGAAAGGTTAGTTTCTTATCATCCATTGATTTGTGAATGGTTACTGGAGTCTCGATTCTGTCAGCAGATTAACTTATTTCTTCTCTGTCTTTTTCTTTTTAGATATAAATTTTTGAGAGAGCTTGGGGATGGTTCTTGTGGTCATGTATATAAAGCCTGCGATATGAGAACTTTGGATATTGTAAGCAACTCTGGCTACTAAAAAGAAATTCTTTCAACTTTATCATCCTACATTAACCAGTTTTTAGGAGTTTAATTTCTTCGCCTATTTTTTTATCCATTTTTTTGTATTATCTTTGTTTCAATTTAGGAAATGTTTGTTTTCATTTTTCAAGTGCTATAGTCATAGTACACATGTATTCTTTCATATATATGCATTGTGTATAGATAACTGAAATTCAGTAATTACATACTATCTAACTGTGTGCAATGATAGCTCTGATAATTTTAAAAGTTGATAGAGAATCATGAAACAAAAGGAATTCTAATGATAATACGGATATGAGAGGACCCTACTATATATTATCCGGAGTCCTAACTAAGTTCATAGTGAATGTATAACACGTTTAAAGTGAGCTGTGTCAAAGGGTATTCTTTGAGGGAATGTGATAAAGAAGTTATAAATTCACGTTCACATTGTGGAATGATGGTCAAAACGGATATCATGTTTTTGTATAAATTATAAAAGCATGTATTACATTTTTTGTGCCCCCTCACAAGGTGGTGCTATAACCATGCTGATTTAAATGGTGATTATATTATGAAACTTGCACTTTCTGATGGTACATTTTAGAATATGCTCCTGATTTTGTCTATCAGGTCGCTGTCAAAAGGTTGAAAAGAAAGTTTTGTTTCTGGGAAGAATACACAAATTTAAGAGAAGTTAAGGTATGTTCTACAGTTTTTTTATTTTATTTTATTTTTTCCTCTAGTTGTAGGTGGTTTTCACATATTCCTAGAACTGTAATAAAGATTTTGCATTGTGTTCCCTCTGCAGGTCCTCCGGAAAATGAATCACACAAATATCATAAAGTTGAAAGAGGTTGTTAGAGAAAATAACGAACTGTTTTTCATATTTGAGTACATGGTAAAGAAACTCTTATTCTTTGTCTTTATTTATTTATGTTTTATGTGTAGGATATGTCTCAGATCAGTGCGTTGAGTGATTTGTACATATCATATAACATGTAAAGGTCAAATTGAAGTGTAATATATTTTTGCTTTATACTGTAAAACTTAAAGAAAAAAATTACTGATGGGGAGAAGAGGAGGAATAATAATTGAGAGGAAATGATGTTGTCCAAGAATTCAAGACAAAACAGAAATGGTAGAGAAAGTGAGAAACTACCTAAACAACAACGCACTGATATCCTGGCGTGCTTCCATTAACAAAACCCATTGTAATAGTCTAGAAGTACAGGGCTAGGGCTGTGCCATGTGTCTTAATCTTCGCAAGAAAATTCAGCAAAGTTACAAAGTTCTCACTGCTACATACATATTTACTGGAAGAATTATGAAATCCTATGTAATTTATCCAAAACCCTCCAATATTTAAGCTTAAGGTTGGATGGAAGTCTGTATCTACTTTTGCTTTATCAGAAATTGCTTGACTCTAGATTTCATCTCTTCAGGATTTTAATCTTTATCAATTAATAAAAGAGAGAGAAAAGCCCTTTTCAGAGGGAGAGATACGGTGCTTTATGAATCAAGTGCTGCACGGACTTAGTCACATGCACAAGAAAGGATTCTTTCATCGGGATTTAAAACCTGGTAAGGCATATAACTTATTTTAGCAAATTCCTCATGGTACACTGTTTTGTTTATGTTTCCTAGTTCAATCTGTTGAAAAAGTCATATGGATCTTGATCTAATAGGAATGTTTTCTTCTGTACAGAAAATTTGCTAGTGACAAATGATGTTCTTAAAATTGCTGATTTTGGACTGGCCAGAGAAGTATCATCAATGCCTCCGTATACCCAATATGTTTCAACACGGTGGTGAGTCATATTCCTTCATGTCTTCTTTGTTAGTCTGTCTTTTTTTCACTCATGCACGTAAATTTTTCTGTGGACAATTTCAAATATAACTTCCAAGATTTTATAGTGTCTGTGAGTACATGTTATTTTAAGATTTTTCTTATCATCATCAACTTCGTCACATATTTTGTTTCGGGAAATCAGGTACCGAGCTCCAGAAGTTTTGTTGCAGTCCCCATGTTATACTCCTGCTGTTGGTAGGCATTAGTCTCTTTTGAATTTAAATTTTTCTTTGATTATTTTACTTATTTTAGCTATTTTTTCTTTCTTATATAGATGGCTTAATAGCGTGCTGGTGTTTGTTTTTGGGAGCCATTAAGCATGATTTTGGAGGCAGAAGTTACAATTTGTAGTTTCTGCCTCAATCTGGTTTTCACCGGCAGAACCACTTTTGAAAGTGGTTCCCAAAAGCTTAACCCAAGCACTCCAGTAGCCGGGGATGCTTAGTTTAGCCTAGCTATCCAACCTTATATTGTCATAGAGACAAAGATGACTAATTTGTAGATAAATTATCTTGTCATTCCCTTTTACTGCTTTATTTTCTGGTCTGAAGAAGTTTGAGTTAATGTCAACTTGTCATTATTTTGTTCAGTTAAATTGGTATTTGTTGCCTCATGGGGCCAAAATTCTTTTACAATTTTTTGATGTCATTCTAAGATGACATTATTCTTGTTTTCTTCTTAAGGTGGTGAATAACATATAAATTTATTTACAGACATGTGGGCAGTTGGTGCTATATTAGCTGAGCTTTTTACTTTGACCCCCTTATTTCCTGGTGAAAGGTATCTTACAGTCCCATAATTTGTGTTTGGTCTTGTTGTAAAAGGCTAATGTAATAATGACAACTCATTGCAATCATGTTATTAATTTATTTTTGTTTTTCTAAAATGCAATTATTTAATTTGTTGTGGTTTGTGCTTTTACATATTTAATACACTTTTTTCCAAAAAAAAAAAAAAAAACTATTTGCTATTTTGTTTACATTTGAATATGAATGGAAGACATTGCGAGATTTGCTACTGAAGTTAAGAATTGTGATTTCATATTAGAGAAAGGACAATCTTGTTTTTGAATCTGGATAGAATGATGTTGAAATTCAAAGTAACAAAATCAAGGAGGGGAAAGATTTTATGTAGCTTTACCATGTTTCCACTTTTAGTAATTTGAAACATTTGATTGGAGCTTAACAATGAAATATTTATTATTCAGGTTTTTCATAACTAATTTTTACTTATGGGAAAAATTGTTTTTTATGGCTTCATTACATATCTTAGGGTGTTTTTGGATTCATATATATGCCAAATGTTCTAAGGATTTGGAAGGATTTTCTGTACTGATGTATTTGTTTTTTCTTCATTTCTTTGGTCTGTATGAATTTATTTCTGTATAAAGAGCAATGCTTTTTTGTTCTTGTCTATCTTTAAGACACTTCTCTGTTTGGATTTGTGTTAATCTGTGAGAAACTGATACTCCAGAGATTGTTATTTATAGTTCAAATCAAAACATTGGGACCTTTTCCTTTGTTATGAACCAATTATCCCACAAGCTTAAATTGTTAGGTGAAGACAATTGAATGATTTTGTATTACATTTCTAACATGCCCTCTCACGTAAGAGCCCTTTGGCTTGAAGCATGGACAAACACAGCTTCATTTACCTAATGCTGAAATTCAACATTAAAAGAAGTCATAGAGGAGAGAGAGAGAAGGGAGAACGAAAGCTAGAAGAAAGAGAGTAAAGTGATTCATTGAGATATACATGTGTTACACAGTGGTCTAATATAGACCTCAGAGATATGCCACGTCACTGGTTTAGTTGTAACCAGAATCAGTTAGCTGAAACTGAATGAGTATGCTAATTACATAAATGTCCCTCTGGCTAATTACAATATTGACCCTGTGTACAGCTGTATAAACTGTACACCTCATCTACTCTAATATGCCCCCTCAAACTCAGGGTGGATGGAGATAACTCAGAGAGTCCACCACCTTGAGTTTGTCCCTCAAAACAGCAAATCTGGAGGCAGAGAGGCTCTTAGTGAGTGTATCAGCAACTTGATCCAAGGAAGGAATGTGGCAGACTCGGATTTCTTTAGCAATAACACGTTCTCTTACAAAAAATATGTCCAATTCCATATGCTTAGTCCTAGCATGAAGAACCGGATTATGAGACAGAGAGACAATACTCAGATTGTCACACAGAATGAGAGGAGTGCCAAACTGAATTTGGAGCTCATGAAGGAGAGATTTGAGCCAGAGAACCTCAGCGGTAGCAAGAGCAAGGCTGCAATACTCTGCCTCAGTACTGGACCGTGCAACCAGATTTTGCTTCTTGGACCACCAAGACACCAAGTTGGAACCAAAAAAGATACATGCTCCTGAAGTAGATCGTCTATCATCCGGGTCACTAGCCCAATCTGCATCACAAAAAGCAGTGATAGAGAATAATTGACTTGGATGACATGGCTGCAACAGCATACCATGATGCAGGGTGCCATTCAAGTAACGTAAGATCCTCTTGACTGCAGCCCAATGCTCTTCAAGAGGCTGAGCCATAAATTGGCAAGCTTTGTTAACCGAGTAGCTGATGTCAGGTCTAGTTAGGGTAGCATATTGGAGAGCCCCAACAATGGAGCGATAGAAGGATGGATCCGAGTAGTAATTGGCCCCAAATTTGGAGAGTTTGCAGCCAGATTGAAGTGGGGTAGAGATACCCTTGGCTTCTGCCATGTGAGCTCTACCAAGAAGATCTTTAATATATTTGGACTGATTAAGAATCAAAGCACCAGAGGATGTCCTCTGAACCTCAATTCCAAGGAAGAAATCAAGATCCCCAAGGTCTTTAAGAGCAAACTCAGAATTAAGTTGCTGAATAAGAGTCTGAATAAAGCTTGAATCATTGCCAGTGATGATTATATCATCAACATAAACTAAGAGAAAGATATATTGTGCTGACTTCCTGTAGATAAACAGGGAAGGATCACATTTACTAGCAACAAATCCAAGATGCAGTAGAGAAGTCTTATCAAACCAAGCTCGTGGTGCCTGTTTAAGGCCATAAAGAGCCTTATGTAACTTACAGACCAGAGACTTAGTTGTGGATTCAAAGCCAGGAGGCTGTTGCATGTACACCTCCTCATCAAGGGTGCCATTGAGAAAGGAATTATTGACATCCAGTTGCCTTAAAATCCAGCCAAAAGAGATAGCAATAGTAAGGATAGTGCGGATGGTAATAGGCTTAACCACAGGGGAAAAAGTTTCTGTGTAATCAAACCCAGCCTGCTGATGAAAACCTTTGGCCACCAACCTAGCCTTATACCTGTTGAGAGTGCCATCAGGATTTTCTTTAACGCGAAAAACCCACTTGCATCCAATGGCAGTCCGGTTGGGAGGAAGAGAAACCAAAGACCAAGTTGAGTTAGCTTGTAGTGCAGACATTTCAGATTTCATAGCAACAGACCAGTTGGGGTTAGCCAGGGCTTGTTTTAGTGTGGCAGGTTCAAGGGAAGTGGACATGACTTGTGGGTGAGGTACAATCTTGGAGCAGGTAGTAACAGTGTGAGAGGGTGAGATATGGAATGGTCTAGAGGGTATATATTCAGAACCAGAGTCAACAGAAGAAGGAGAAGAAGAACTAAAGGAAATAGGAATAGGAGAAAATGAACCTGAAGAGGCTGTAGCTGAGACTGAATTTCTGTGTGAAGGTGACAAGCCAGAAGATAAACCAGGGCTGGAGAGTGATGAAGAGGAATCTGCTGGAGCTACACTGCATGGTGATGATGATGAGGTGTTGCTGCTGGATGCTTGGGAACCTTGAGTGGTCAAGCTCTGTTGAGGTGGTGAGAGTGACGAATGTACAGGAGCAGGAGACTTGATATGTGAGTCTACCAAAGGAATCAAATTAGAAACAGGAGGAGAGGAATGAGCAGTAGCATTGCTGGATGATGAACTGAACCAAATGGGGTAAGGAAACTTTGTTTCATTAAAAAGGACATCCTTAGAAACAAACAACCTGCCAGATGAGTTCAAGCACTTGTAGCCTTTGTGAGTAGGGGAATAGCCAAGAAAAATACACTCACTGCTCCTAAAGTCCAGTTTGTGGTTGTTGTATGGTCTTAGGAAAGGGAAACAAGCACACCCGAAGACCTTGAATGACTTGTAGTCAGGCAATGTTTTGTGTAGTTTGATAGAAGGAACTTCAAAATTCAAGGCAGCAGTGGGAAGAGAATTAATAAGATACACAGCTGAGGTAAAGGCATGGTCCCAAAATTTGATGGGTAGGGATGCATGAGCAAGTAAGGTAAGACCAGTTTCAACTATATGACGATGCTTTCTCTCAACAACACCATTCTGATGATGGGTGTGAGGACAGGCAACCCTATGAACTATTCCGTGATTTTTAAGGTGTTGATGAAAGGGTCTAAATTCTCCACCCCAATCAGTTTGAAGAGCTTTAATAGTGGACTGAAAATTGTTTGAAACAAGGGCTTGAAACTGATTAAAAACAACCAATGCTTCTGACTTTTGTTTAAGGGGATAAATCCAAGTGTATCTAGAGTGGGCATCTACAAAAGATATGTAGTAGGTGAAGCCCATTGAGGACTTGACAGGAGCTGGACCCCACAAGTCACTAAAAACAAGGTCAAAAGGTTTTTCATACACTTTAGTAGAAGAGCCAGAATGTAATCTGTGTATTTTTCCCAAACAACACGCAGAACAAAAGGAAATGTCAGTTTTATTAGGCACAGGTATATTACAAGACTTGAGAACTGAATTTAGAGCCTCAGTGGGAGGATGACCCAGTCTACAATGCCAAAGAGAGTATATATAGTTTGACCCTATAGGACTTGAGCTACTGACTTTATTAGATGTGTTTGGTGTGAGTACATTGGTGAGTGGAGTATCAGTACAAGCTGAAACACTGTAACTAGTAAATAGGGAATTAGGACTATAAGAAACAGAAACAGAATTGGATGTAGAAGCAGAAGCACACTGTTGGCTGGACGGCAGACTTGAATTGGGGTGAAGATTAACTCCTTGAAAGCTGTACAATCCATCAGTTCCCAAAGCTCCTTCCAGCAAGACCTCATGAGATGCCTGAGATTTGACAAAGCAAGTGAAAGGGTGAAATTCAAAATAAACACTTTTATCTCTAGCAAACTGGCTAACACTGATGAGATTTTTAGTGATGGAGGGAACAAGTAATAAATTGTTAAGATGTAGGTGAGTATGAGGTTTGAGGGGAGAAGAAAAGGAAGAGCAACCCGTAGCATTGACTCTCAAACCTTGGCCGTTGCCTATGTAAACCTGGTCTGCACCTGATAGTTGTGTGCTTTGTAGAAGATTTTGAGGATTGGCAGTCACATGGTGAGAGGCACCTGAGTCTGGATACCACTCTATGGACTGAACATTTGAAGGAGTAGGCAAGAGTCCTTGGTCGTGAGATTGTGAAGCCATATTACAAAGCTGTGAAGCATGATGTTGAGACTGATTTGTGGTCACCAAAGCTTGTGGCTGGTTGACATTAGCAGATCTGTTGTACTGAAAGGACCTCTGAAATGAAGGCTGTGGTTGTGGAAAGAACTGATGAGATTCTGGTGATGAGAACTCAGGCACAAAGTTCTCATCAAATCTATACCAGCAACTTTGGACTCCATGTCCAAATTTGTAACAGAGTTGACATTGAACATTGCTTCGTCCTCTGCCTCTTCCTCCTCTGTTATTCCTACCATAAAACCTTCCTCTTCCTCTTTCATTATTTGTATTATAAGGTCTTTGAGTCTGACTTGCTTGAATAGGAGTAAAAGGAGTTCTCATAGCTGTCGAATCAGGTCTTGAACTTTCCTTTGGATCAGAGGATACCTTCTGAACTACATTAACAGTCATTGAATCAGAAAGAAGAGTTTCGTTCTGCCTGGCTAGCATCATTTCATAGGACATCAGTTCAACACGTAAATCATTGAGCGAGTATGGATTTTCTCGAGCTCGAACAGCAGTAACAAACGCATTAAAATCAGGAGGAAGACCAGCTAAAATCAGTTCAGTTTGTTCTTCAACTGAGATAGGGCTTTTGATAGCTTTCAACTCATCACAGATAGTTTTAACTCGACGAAGATATTCAGCAACAGATCTGCCACCTTTCTTGATGGTGCGAAGCTCAGATCTGAGTTGATGAGTTTTGGACTTCATCATACCTTGAAAAAACTTGTGGATTTGCTCCCAGGCTTCATACGCATGAGAGACACCAAGGATCTCGTTCAGGATTTCTTCTGAAACAGTAGACAGAATCCATGAAAGAAGCATTTGATCTTGACGTATCCACTCAGTGTAAAGAGGATTAACAGCTTCATCAATACGAGCTTGCTCAGACTCGAACTGAAGCGGTATCTTTGGGTTAACAAGGAAGTGGTGGAGTTGATGAGATGTGATTACTGGTTCTACAACTTGATTCCAGATCAGAAAGTTGTTTTCCGTAAGTTTGACGGAGATCTGATGAGTGAACAGTGATGGAGAAGATGACCGGTGCTCTGTCGTTCCATTTCTGGTGGTTGTTCCTTCAGCTGAAGACGACTGAGACGGTGGATGCGAAGCGGAAGACATCGAGTGGTTGGATCCGTATCAGGCCCTCAGAGAGAGGGCTCTGATACCATAAAAGAAGTCATAGAGGAGAGAGAGAGAGAGAAGGGAGAACGAAAGCTAGAAGAAAGAGAGTAAAGTGATTCATTGAGATATACATGTGTTACACAGTGGTCTAATATAGACCTCAGAGATATGCCACGTCACTGGTTTAGTTGTAACCAGAATCAGTTAGCTGAAACTGAATGAGTATGCTAATTACATAAATGTCCCTCTGGCTAATTACAATATTGACCCTGTGTACAGCTGTATAAGCTGTACACCTCATCTACTCTAATAAACATATTATTAGAAAAATGAGGGTGACAAGGATCAAACTCTAGATCTATCAATTATAGAGGCTCTGATATCATGTTATGAACAATCTATCCTAGTAGTTTAAGGTGTTTGGTTTCACACATGAATGCTTTTATATCACATCTCTAACATTCTTACTCATATCACATCATAAATTGTAATTGATATTTGATATTTAAATTGGAAACTTCTTCAAAATAATGAACTATTTGGTTGAGGCACATCTCATATATCCCTAAAAAAGAACCATTAGGATTTTTATAAGATCTTATAAAATTCCTTTTCTGGATTGACAGTGAAATAGATCAACTGTACAAAATATACCGCGTACTTGGTATGCCAGATTTAACTGCTTTCACCATAGGGGCAAATGACTCTCGGCTATTGGACATTGTTGGTCATGAAGCTGTAAGTGTTAATGTATCGGGAGTCTGGTCGTGTAATATTACTTTATTTTGTTGTCATTTTTTCTTTTCATCACTACTTCCTGTATTTTTAGTTGCCCTGATGCTTGTGCAGGTTCCACCAATGAAGCTTACTGATATCATTCCAAATGCTAGTTTGGAAGCTATAGATTTGATCACGGTATGGTTTGGTCAATATAATTTGTCTATCAACATATCAATATCAAAATTTGTTTTGACTCTGTAAGTAGTACTATTCTTTAATATCTACTGCATTATAAATTTTGTAGCAACTGTTATCATGGGACCCATCTAGAAGGCCAGATGCAGATCAGTCATTGCAACATCCTTTTTTCCATGTAACTTTTTCTTTGAAGCCTGTTCTTCTTTACTTATTGTCTTCAATTTACTAACATATAGTGGACAGGTGGATACATGGGTTCCTTATTCACTCAGTGACCCACTTGAGCTGAAGCTGAGTAGCAAGAGTGAGGGAATTTCCATTTTCTTTGTGTCTTAAATTCTACCTTGTTAATTGCATCATGATAGGTATTTGGTTCTATTGTTTATTTCTTTCTTCTTGCACTACTTACAGGGGCAAAGCCAAATCTTGAACTGAAACTGCAGGATTTTGGCCCTGATCCCGATGATTGTTTTCTTGGCTTGACATTAGCTGTAAAGCCCAGTGTTTCAAACTTGGGTAAATACTATTTTAACTATTTTTTAACTAGTAAAAGCAGCGTTGATCTGTTGGCACATGGCAAAAATGATTGCTCTTTGCTTCACCCATTTTTAGTAGAATAATATGTTTGGTATTGTAGTTTGTTGGTGTGATGGAAATAGTCCCATTCATTTGTTGCAATTTTCTTGTTTGCATGACAGAAAAATTCATATTTTCTTCTTGAGATTTGTTTCGGCTGATCGATCCCTCTCCAATTGTGCAATCTTAAAAGTTAGGTTCAGGACATGCCTTTTTGGTAATGCCAAATGCGCACAGATTGATAGTAGAACTAAGTTCAAACTGCTATATTCATGACTAATTGACATTTTCAAGAGTATATCAATTATTACTTTGATTGTTCGAATTGCTATAGTTCTATTTCTTTTTTCAAGGGAGTTGTGGAATTTTAATTTTTTTTATTCTCTTTCTATGTATGAGACTGTTCCTGTCTAGTCTTTTTTTCCCTATATTTTCCTTCGTTATTTATTTATTTATTTAATTGTTTTCCTATCTAATCTATTTTTCCCTTTTATCAATCTATTTTATATTTTTTCTATGTACATTTTCATTTTTTTTACTATTTTTTTCTTATTTATATTTTCTCTTATCTATCATTATTTTCTCTTTATTTTTTATTCTATTTTTATTGCAATTTTATTTTTAATTTTTTAATTATATTGATTGATTTATTTATTTTTCCCCCTTCTTTTCTCTTAATCTTTTCATTTGGGTTCTTCGACCACCAACCCCAACTAATTTGAGATAAATATGTTGTTGATGCTCATCTCTTGGAATCCCTTTCCCTGACATGCATTTGTTGTTGGTTACAATTTGTTGATAATGATTTGCAATTTGTTATGTTGAATCTATCTTATGTTTTCTGAATGATATTGACAGTTCTTTGAAATGTTTAAGATTTTCCACTATTGTTTTTCTTCCGTTGTACATTTTGTAACTCTGGCATTTCTTCACATTTCAAAATTTCTTTCATTTTCTCTTTAATTGTTTTTAATAGTAGACATCCTGACCATTTAATTATTGCCATTTCCTGCAGATGTGGTCCAAAATGTATCTCAGGGCATGGGAGAGGTAGGTGTACAGTGCTGTAATCCAGCAGCTTGTCATATTATAGTTTTATGTTTTGAAGTACTAATAGACAGCTGTTTACTCCTTTTTTGACTTAATGCACCATATAAATATGCAGAATGTGATATTTTGCTCGGATTTCAATAATCATTCAGACCAGTCAGGTGATTTTTAGTTTCTTCCTTTCTATTTGCAATTTAATCTTTCATAACCAAGTTAGCTCTGCTTATCAAGAAGAGATAGCTTCTAACTTTTGGAAGGTTAGATTAGCCTTGATTTAGTTTTTAGGAAAGCTTCATCATGCTCTGTTTTTCTAATAAATGAACTATGTTAAAGGAGAAAGTACCCATATGGACAAGAAGAAATCCTTCTATTTGCCTATGTTTTAAAAGAATAAAAACAGAGCAACAATATAGCTAAATAAGGTGCATATATGTGTGAAGCCTTTGTTTCACGAGAATGAAAACATAGCAATAAAATAAGCAAATAGTATGCAGAGTTAGTAAGTAACTCTGTAAAGCCCTTACTAAAAATTTCATATTATTTTGGGTTGGGCCTAGACTTTGCTGCATCCCAATCTTAACCTAGATCCTTCCCTGTTCTTTTTTATTTTCCTCTGTCGCCACCGCTGCAAATAGCAACGATACATTCCTACACCAGTCTGAATCTGGTGGGTCAGGCAGTGGTGGTGGGATGACTACCACCATCAGAGGTTAGGGTGTCATCAATTCATGTACCACCTTGGTCAAGAGTTCCCCACATCCATGGCTTTCTCAACTTCCTTGGTCTCTTCCTCTAGCTTTTTCCTCCCTATCTCTTCTTTCTCATTCTCGATTAACACAAAACCGAGTGGTTTTTTTCATTTACTACCATGAGTTTTTCTTGATTCCTACTTCCCCTTTGGTTTTCAAACTCCTACTCATCAACTGTGTTTTTCTACATAACAACAATAATCGTGTGCTTCTCTTTAGTCTTTGTCTTCTCATTTTCTTCCATAATTTCTGGCTTCTCCAGCACTGAATGTTTTTGCGTATCAAATTTTGTCTCCTGAAAGTCTGATTTCGTATCTTCATCCTCCAAGCATATCTCCGATTGGAATCGTTGTAGAACTGCCCAAAAAATGTCCCCCTATTCACATTAGGATTGAGCCAACTCCAGCATTTGTACCAACTAAAAGCATGTCCTCTAAGCCCCTTCACCGCCTCTGTCATAAAATGTCAAACCAATTGCCTCTCTTTTACTAAATTATGATTGTTATAGCCCCTGAATGACAAAACACATAAAAGAAGCATAATGCTAATTCCGCAGATGCAACCTATTGTCATTTCTCATTTAATTTTAATCTATTCTTCCTATCACAGATTAATTGAAGAAGCATAACAACCACACTATACACAATAAAAAATAATATTTAAAAAAATTTGAAGCACAAAAATAACAGAAGTGAACAATTTAAATTCAGCAAGACATTCACAATCATGTTTTAAAGCAAAGAAGGTATTGAAATTCCTATTCAAAATATGAAGGAAAAATTTGACATTCGAGCCTAATACTTTTAGTCACTAAAAATTAAATATCATTTCATGACTTGAACAAGTTTTATTTTATGTAGCAAAATACATTATGAAAACAAATATAAAGGGAAGTTCAAGGCAACTAAAGATAGGCTGCCAATTGCAGTTATAACAGCTAAAGAAAATTAATTCATGACAAATTTAATACTTTATAGTGGTTGATCTCTTTAATTTATGTTACTTTTATGCTTTATCTTATGTGGTTTTCTAATGAGAGCTATTGCCGTTTTTTATAATAGTTTTTCTAATAAATTTATCGAGATTTAAAATTTTATTATTATTTTGTAAAACGTAAATTCAACCCAATAGCTTAAGCTATTAAGTTAAGGCCTTTTAATAGTTTATATTATTTTCTAACACGCACCCTCACACAAGTGCCCACTGGACTTGAAGGGTGAACAATGTATAAACATATTTACCTATGCTAAGAAACTCTAAAAGACTTAATTATTTATTAATTAAATGGAGGGCGGTGAGGATCGAACTTGTTATCACTTAGTCACGTTAGCTCCGATACCATATAAAGAACCATTTTAACCCAAAAGTTTAAGCTATTAAGTGAAGGCCTTTTTAATGGTTTATATTATTCTCTAATATATTTGTTATTATTATTATTATTATTATTTTTTATTAAGAATCGTTTAGTTTTACCTTTCTGTACCTACCTTATTGTGAATTTAAAATGCTAGTTTTTTAGTTTTTTCTACATTTTGTTTTTTTACATTTTGTTTATTGCCATTATAAATTATGAAAGGAACATTTTATTCAAGAAAAACGAATAAGAAAAGGAAAGTTGTGAATGTTTTATTCCCGATATTTAATACGTATTAAAACAGACATGTAAAATTTTAAATTTAATGTGAAAACCTATTTTCTTGTAGTGTACACGCTATATATGGAGCTGAATCATCAATGCTGCTTATCACCATTTTTCAATCTCTTCTATACAATTGTCAGTTGTTCATAATAATAGCTCCTAAGATGTTATCTACGCTATATTCTCATTTTTTTTCGGCTACGTTATTTACAGTGATAGCAATTGCAGATGCCTAAGCAACCACCTTTGTCTCCCTCTAAACCATTTGTCAGTCCTTCCCATACTTGTCTTATTGTAGATATGTTATTCTTAAGCATCCCACCACAATCCATGACTTTCTCAAATTCTTAAGTACCACAACTTATTGAACTTAACGAATATTTATCTTCATCTCCTATCAAATATGTCTCAAGGGACAATTCATGCTCTTAAAGAATGCCTATTTCTCTCTATATTTAGTGTAGAATACTTATCAAGGTCCAATGACATCGTCATCAAGGAGGCTTATAAAACTCTCTACAACTCCAAAGTTGGTTATGCCTAAACCCTGCAGACCATCATAACCAACTACCAGTCATGCTTAGATCGACTAATGACCACGACTTCCAATTTAAGCATATAGAATGGCTTTTTTGGCTGACTATCTGATGACAATGAACTCCACATTCTGTCGCTAGCTCCGTCCACAAAGGGCTAGGTGAATGAAAAGAAAAACAAGACATTATTATGAGATTCTACTTGGTGGCATCTGAGTTTCGTAATGATCAACTTCCTCTGAAGATGTTGATGGAATGAAAGTCATTTCAAGGGTGATGAAGACGACGTTTTGATTAATGACATTATTGCTGCAAGTCAGAATGGAAGCAGAAAATTCACCACTATCAACTAAGTTGTTGCTGTTACTCCAAATAGCACTAATGCAACAGTGGTTATTTCATGATTTTTATTAGAGAGGGTGTGTGTCCATCCCACATCATTAAGAATAAGTCAGTTTTTCTGATTGATTCCCTGTCCTATCATAATCAGATACACCTTGTTTCGGGGATGACCACGTATGATATGCCTTGTTTTGAGGGATAGACATGTATTCTTCATACATGCCCTCTCTGGTAAAAATCATGAAATAATCATCTGTTGCATTGGTGTTAGTTAGAGTAGTAACGATAACTTGGTTGATGGTGGTGAAGTTTCCGCGTACATCCTAGCTAACAACATTAATGTCACTAATCAAATTACCGTCTTCATTATCCTCTTGTTTTCCCGTGCCTCCAGCTGAATCGTCAATGACTCTCGTTCGATTCGACATCTTAATAGGAAGTTGACCATTATAGAAACCCAAATGCCACCCTGTAGAATCCTATAATAATGGATTGTTTTTCTTTTCATTTACCCAACCCTTTGTAAATAGGGCTAGTGACACACTATGGTGTTTGTTGTCATCAAATAGTAAAAAAAAAAGACCATTCTTTATGCTTGAATCGGAAGTTGTGGTTAGTAGTCCATTAAGTATGTCTAGTGGTTGGTTATGATGTCACCAAGCAAGGTTTGGGCATCATCAACTTCGGAGCTGGAGAGAGTTTTACTGGCCTCCTTGATAGCAATGTCATTGGACCTCGATAAGTATTCTATGCTAAGTTCAAAGAGAAATAGACAATCTTTAAGAGCATGAATTATGTCTCTTGGGACAAATTGGACTAAAGATGAAGATAAATGTTTGCGGCACTTAGGCAAAGATTTTTTAATTGAGAACATGAAAAAGTAATGGACTGCAATAAGACGGTTGTGGGGAGGACTCGCAAATGGTTTTTGGGAGATAAGGTTGGTTGTGGAGTCATCTGCAATGGCTAGCAGTGTTAATAACGGTAGGAGAAAGAAAAATGAGAATGTAGTTGCAGATGATCTTAGGAGCTATTATTATGGACAACCTTGAAAAATGGCGATGAGAAGCATCAATAATTCAGCTCCTTATATAACGTGCACTACAAGAGAAATGCGTTTTCGATTAAATTTAAAATTTATATGTTTTTTTTTTTTTGTAAATATATGTTTGTTTTAACTTACGTTAAATATTGACAATAAAACATTCTCAACTTTCCTTTTCTTATTCATTTCTTTTGGAATAAAACGTTCCTCTCGCAATTTATGCTGACAATAAATAAAAAGTTAAAACTTGTTATTTTAAATTTACAATAAGATAAGTACAAAAAGTTAAAACTAAACTTTTTTGATTAAAAAAAAAATTTAAATCTCAATAAATTTATTAGAAAAAATACTAAAAAAAATGGCAATAGCTCTGATTAGAAAATCAGCACGAAAGTAGAATAAATTATTAAGGTTGAACATTATGAAGTATTGAATTTGTCATGAATCAATTCTCTTTAGGTAACTGTTATAACTTATAAATGTGCTTGGCAGCAACCTGTTTTTAGTTGGCTTGAACTTCTCTTTATAATTGTTTTTCTAATGTATTTTGTTGCGTAAAACAAAACCTAAATTTGTTCAAGTCATGGGATGATGTTTAATTTTAGTTACTTAAGTGCTTTAGGTATATATAAAATTATATGCTCAAGTGTCAAATTTTTCCTTCATGTTTTGAATAGGAATTTTAGCAACTTCTTCGCTTTAAAACTTGATTGTGAATGTCTTGTCGAATTTTCGTTGTTCACTTGTGTTATTTTGTGTTTCAACTATGTTGATTTTTTTCCTTATTGTGATTCTGTATACCAATTATGTATTTGATTGTATTTATAATTATGCTTATTAGAATCGTTTGTATTTTAAGATTCCAATTTTTTTGCATTCATTTGGTTTATAATATAAGTACTCATGAGACATGATTTGATTTCTCATAACCGATAAACACCTATGCTAGTTTCCTCAATGAAACCACTCTCACCTTTCCATTTTCCTCACATATTTATGTCGATCTTCTCCTTAAATTTGCATCTATTGAGTAGTACATCTTTTTTATAGAACAACATGCATCCATTAGGGAAGATTTTTAAACATTGTAGAAAATCTTCAGCTTGGAATGCCATTGCGGTAAAACATGTCCAACAAACTTCATCCATTGGTTGAAGCATCCTTTTGTTATTTGATAATCTGTTTTCAAGTTTAGGGCTGTTAGGCAAGCAAATAGGGTAGTGAGTGTCTCGCAACCATCCCACAATGGACGTTGGGCAGCTTGAAGCATGTTGAAAAATTGTGTGCTTCAGGATTAGGATCTTTAGGCATTAACGGTTGATTTTCATTAGTATAACCTGGTAGGTGTGCACCAATATTTGGATCTGCAGCATCCAAGATCAACTTTTCATAATGGCCGTAGTTATCTCATTGAGCATTGATGAACGTACACGTCATTTTGGGTGAAAAATGTGTGTCGGTGTCGCTCCAACACATTTTGACACGCGTTCCGTCACGTGGTCAACGTTTTCCGACAGACGGTCAACGACAACGTTCATGCATATTCAAATTTTATTTTATTTTATCTTTTTTTTTCGGTAAACATGAAAAATTAATTTATAAATCAAATATTTTCTATTATGAAATTTAACATGAAAAATTGACAAGCCATGAAAAATTATTTTTGCTTTATATTTATGTTATGAAATTTAAATATTTAATTAATTATATAACTTATTATGGATTGCTATATGTATTAAATATAAACTATATCATATATATATATATTAAAAATATTATTTAATATCAAAACGTATCCTAACGTGTCAAAATCTAATATTTTTTAGAATTAATATATCGGCGTGTCGTGTCATATCGTGTTCCGTGTTAGTGTCATTGCAATATAGTCGTTGAGTGCTACTGCCATAATATGAGTGTGTGTCAACCCATGGGGATCTTTCGGATGACATTATCCATGACTGACCAACAATAGTAATCAAGCATGATTGAAAGAAATATGGCAAAACCATGCGAAGTACTAATAATAAGATGCTGTAAGAGCCCATTGCTCTCTTGAAATGACATGAATACTGTAGATGACTAAGCAGCAGTGCGGCAAAAAAGTCGGTAGTTCAGTCATTAACTGGATAAACCATTTACCGAACAATGTTGACCACGGGGTGAACCTTTGCTTCTACTTTGAATTAGAAATGGTAAAGTCTAATCCTTATATTCTATTCTGGATATACCCAATAACAAATGGTAAAGTCTACTTTCGAATTATATTCTATTCTGGGTATACCGACCAGTTTGGGTTGCTTTGCAAAATTAATAAGTATTACTTTTCTGGAAAACAGTAGAAATAGTTTTTTGAGCAAGTTTTTTGTTCTTCTTTTTGGGCTGTTAACTGGCTTGCAATTGGTCAATTTTGAGTGAAGTGACAAGATGCAAACTTTGTGGATTTATTTACGGTTCCTAATTACTAAGCTCAATTATTATTTCTAGGATAGAACTTGACGTTTCTACTTTATTTTCTTTTTAGATTTTTCTTTTAACTTTCACTTTCTATTTAATTGATACTGGCGAGTTATGTTTTTTGTGTGATCTAGTATTCTGGACATTATTATCTCCTGATCAAAATGGAGTTCATAACTCGGCAGAGACTTCATTATCATTGTCATTCGGGTAAGTTCTTGCATATGCTCTTTGCTTTTCCTCATCCTATATAGATGGTGACAGTATCTTAGTGCTTGTTTATAATATTGTAATCTTAGTGATGCTTTGAGGAATAAATATTAACAATGTTATCAATCATAAAGTGAAGTAGAGCTAAGGGTAAGTTTTTGACTGTTAAAAACGAGTAAAAGATAATTGTTATCAGTTTTAGTGTCTTGGACTAAAAGCTTCATTACATTGGAGAGCCTGTGTAAGATTGAATGTTAGATGTTGAAATGGATTCAACTACTCTCGTCTTGGCTAAGCAACTCGTGCAGCTTTAGATCTAAATGCATTTGTTGTATGATTTACTGATATAAGTGTAAATGATAAATATCTCGGAAACTGCCATATTGGGGCAAATCTCTGGCCTACGAGAAAGTACCACGAGTAGGACACTAGCAATCCAAAAATCAACGAAACATTTCTTTAGCTTTTCTAATAGAAGCTTGTTAATTTTATTTTTTATTTTCTTAAAAAAAAGGAACTGCTACCAAATTTTTATTGTTTGTTGTGCTATTTAATTTATTTATAGTTTATGATAGTTGTCTTTTGGTTGAAAATGGAAATTAAATTACTTTTTCGCGAAATGGGAGAGGAAGAGAGTTGAATAACCTTTCTTGTCCAAGTGCATTTTTTTCCCATTTATATATTTGACGCGTGTTTTCAAAGGAGAAAGCTTTCTGCACACTTAGTTATATCTAATCCGAACTTCTGCAGAAAATGTTTAAGTAGATCCACTTGAATTAAAATGGTGCCATCTGTGTAGGTAGGTATACAAGTGGTTTGCATGCTTAGGTGTGCAAATAGCGTAGTGTACATAAATATGTAAAAAAAGTAAAACGCTGTGTTTTGTAGTAGAGAAAAGATGTATTACTATTTGTTTTCTAAACTGAGCTTAGGTACATGACTTGTTTCCCTGCTTTTGTATTGGCTTGTTGTCTTAACAGTTCAGTTCAACATCCCCCACAGTCAGCGGGATTTTCTTTTCAGCCTTTGCAGCCTAACATCTTAACTACGCCATTTTTGGCTCTGTCTTCCCCGTTCCAGCGGGGGCACTGCCTTTGAATGATTGTTTGAACTTTGAACAATGCAGTATGATCTTGAATCTTGATAATGCATATAACAGTTTTCATTTGAACTTATATTTTGTACAGCTATGTTTAGCATTAAAATAGTTTGTCGTTATCATGATATAGAATGTAATTACTGAACAAATTCTACAAGGATACTTGATTCCATTCCTTAACTGTAACACTGAAATTCATACCTTGGAATTGAGAATATGAATACCTGATATTTCTTCAAAGATTCATATTTTACACATAAGTCATACTATTTGCAATTGTTATTTTCATTTTCTATTTGTTCCTTTTAATACCAACAAGTTTAATGGGAATGTGGCGTTGAAAAGCTTAAATACAGATGGACTTTGTTAGTCCGGTTCTGTGAGTGAATTGTATATATTGGTTCACCAAATATGCAAAAGGAAGGAAATTGTGTGCACTGGTTCACAAATTTATTAGGGGCAGAACCTGATTTAACAAGGGAGATGTTGATGCAAAATTCAATGCTGAGGTATGGTAGAAGGCAAGCTCAAAACCCCTATGAAGAGATAGCATAAATTAAACAGTTGGGGTATGTAGAGAGCGATATCAACTAGATTAAAGGGCTATTTCATGCATTGGACCTTTGAGATGGTAGTTATGAAAGTAGGACACAATTGAGCTGGAAGCAAGGGATTTTCGAATTCTAAGTCTTAGTTGTCAAAAAGTTATTGTGGGGAGGCACGTGAAGGTGAAATGGAGAACAAACAAGAACCTGCCGTTATTATTGAAGTGCATAACAACCTCCAACCCTCGCGGTTTGGCTTGGAAACGTGAATACTAATAATACGAGATGAAACGAACATTGGAATAAATACGTGTGTAATAGCATAGCGGAGGTTATATTATATATAGAACTATATATATAGAACTACTGAGTATATATAACCTGAATATGTGATGTGAGATTAAGTTTATACTACTTTTATTATATATATATATATATATATATATATATATATATATATATATGGAGGGTTTTTTTGACTCCAGAGTAAGACTTTTAACTCTTACTCCTCATCTTAGCCGTTGATGGACGGAAATCAACGGTTGTCATTTATAGTGTAATTAATAATTAATTAATTAATATAACTTCTTAAACTATAACCGTTGGATGGACGTAAATCAACGGCTAGGATGAGGAGTAAAAGTTCTAAGTCTTACTCTGGAGTCAAATGATCTTCCTCCTATATATTTGGAAAAAAATATGTAGTGTTGCTTGGTTATCACAAATGAGAGTTGCTGGTCCAGTGTCTCCAAACTTGAGCTCTCTAAGAAGTTGCTTAAGTCAAATGAGCTCGCAAGTAGTAGTAGTAGTCATGCAGCGATACTCTGCTTCAGCACTTGATCTGACAACTACATTCTGTTTCTTATTTTTTCTGGAAACCAAGTTGCTTCCAACGAAGACACAATATCTAGTAGTAGGTGTCCTATTAGTAGGACAACCGACCCAATTAGCATTAGAGTATCTGACAAATTTAACATGACCTTTATCTTCATATTCAAGGCTTTTTCCTGGATATGTCCTGATTAGGGGGTTAACGGGCCGAGCTTTGGTCTTGAAAGGCTAAACCTGTGTTTAAATATGTCAGACCGGCCTAGCCTATAACCTGTTATGAATATAATTATTGGCTTATGTCTAGCTTATTTACAAAAATAAAAGTATGGCTTAGCCTGTTAACTTGTCAAAAAAAAAAGACAACAAAAATGTATCCAAAAAGAATATACAACCAACAACACTAATAATTCCATAAAGATTCATAAATACAATATATATCTAAATAGCATAATATAGAACAAAATCATTCAAAAAATATGCTTAACCAATAAACTAAACTAATGCAAAATTTTGCATATCCAAAAGAACAAAAGATTACAAATTATGCGTAAACAATTTCATATACTCATATCAACATTTTAATGTATTATGATGTTGCCACCTCTTATATAAAGAAAAAAAAGTCAAATCATTTTCAACATTCAATTATAATATCATAAGATATAAAATAATTTAAATTAAGTAAATTAATACCTTTTGTTTTTTTTATGCCATACTTATTACGTACCTAATCTGCACTGCAAATTAATGCTTAACTGTATTTTCATCCAAACTTGCCCGATAAGCATCAATGATAACACCAATAGTAAATGTCGATTCATCGGAGCAGCGAACGTTGATGTTAACTCTATCGGCGGCCTTAAGCTCTGTCGGATGGCTGAAAACGGAGGTCGCGGGAAGAGGATGAAGACCTTCAACCGTTGGGAACCACCGAGAGACGAAGAGAGACCTTCAACAAGAGAGAAAGGTGAAATGCTCGAAGATGGCAGAAATTGAAAGGGAAAATGATGGTGAAATGCTTGGAGATGGCTTCGACGAAGAGAATGACGGAGAATGGTTGCTTGATGGCTTGAGTGAGATAGGCGCGATGATAGGAGTGAAAATTAGGTTACTATAAAAAAGAGAGTTAGTAGGCCAGCTTGACGGAGTTTAACCCGATTTTTGATTTGGAACCTGAGGCCTTTTTATTAAATAAGCTTTTATACAAATCTAAGTCTGGATCCAACAACCAAAGGCCCTTAGCTCTTTTAACACCCCTAGTCTTGATATACTTGAAAATACGAATGATGGCATTCCAGTTATTGAGATGGAGAATTAAGAAACTGACTTACCACACTAACTACAAATAAATATGTCAGGCAGTGATTGTAAGATAGTTCAGTTTTAAAACCAATCTTCTATACCTTTCAAGATCTAAAAAAGGCTCCCCATGATTCGGTAGAAGCTTGATATTTGGATTCATAGGGGTATCAACAGACTTAGAATTTAATAAAGCATTTTCTTCAAGAATATGTAGAGTATATTTCCTCCGAGATATCACAATTCAATCTTTAGATTGGGCCATCTAGATTCCTAAGAAATATTGAAGTTTTCCAAGACTCGTGGTCAAAAAATAATGACATAAATGTTGTTTTCACTGAGTAATCCCATGATTATCACTACCTATGATGACAATATCATCACTTTTTCCGAGTCATACCAAATTGTTGAACAACATTGCTAAATTTGTGAAACCAAGCTCGTGGAGATTGCTTGAGACCATATAGAGACGACAAACAAGACCAGACTCCCCTTGAGCAACAAACCTAGGAAGTTTCTCCATATAGACTTCCTCCGCAAGATCACTATGAAGAAAAGCATTTTTAATATCAAGTTGATAGAGAAGCCAGTGGCGGATAGCAGCCATGACAATAAAGAGGCGAACATAAGACATTTTTGCCACAGGGGAAAAAGTGTCACCATAATCCAGTCCAAACAATTGAGTGAAACCTTTTGCCACCAAGCAAGATTTAAGACGATAAGCTTTACCATCGGGACAAACCTTAATAGCATAAACCCAGCGGCAACTAACAACAGATTTTCCAGATGGAAGATAGACCAGATCTCACGTGCCATTGGGATAAGAGCTCTCATTTCATCAATCATAGACTGTCTCTATCTGGAATATGAAAGGACGTCACATGTAGTCTTAGGAATAAACACAGAAGACAAAGAAGAAAGACATACAAAATATGATGGAGAAAGACAATGGTAACTAATATTAACTGAATACCTGACCGAAGGGCGGGTATCATGGGTACCTTTACAAAGAGCAATGGGAAGGTTAAGAGCCGAAGGTGGAACTTAAGCTAAAGGAGGAGATGCAGTAGGATGTAAGCCCACAGAAACATATGGAGAAACTAGAAGTGGGGAAACATGTTACAACTCATTAGGAGAAGAGGTGGCCGAATGAGAGTCAGACACAGAGACTGGGAAAGGCGAAAGGTATTCAAAGGAGGCGACAAGGAGAGATGACCGAACAGAACCAGGGTCCATAGGAACAGTAGTGGAGCCAGAAAATGGGACTAATTCGAAAAATGAAACATCTGCTGAGATAAAGTATCCACGTAGAGTCGGAGAGTGGAAACGATAATCCTTTTGAGACTAAGAGTAACCCAGAAAAACACATTTATGAGACTTGGGAACTAGTTTATCCAAGCCAAAACCGAGATGATTAACAAAACACGTAGAACCAAAGACATGTGGGGTCAGAGGATATAAAGGTTGATGGGGAAACAAAATAGAATGAGGTATGCTGTGATGAAGAATAGAATAGGGCATACAATTAATGACATCGCAAGGGGTGAGAATAACATCACCCCAAAACTTGTAGCGAATATTGCCATTAATTAACAATTTGCGAGTAGTCTCAACAAGGTGACAGTTCTTACGCTCGACTACACCATTTTGTTGAGGTTATGAGGACAACATGTTTGATGAAGAATGCCATGTGAAGAAAAGAAATGTTGAAATTGATGAAATAAATACTCACATGCATTATTACTACGAAAAGTACGAATACGAATACCAAACTAAGTTTTGATTTTTATAGAATAATTGAACAAAAAGATAATAACTCAGAACGATTTTTCATTAAAAATAACCAAGTACATATGGAATAATCATCAATAAATGTAACAAAATACTTAAACCCCAAAGAAGAAGGATGATGACTCGTCCCCCAAATATCAAAATGGACCAAAAAGAAAACGAGACAAAGCTCGATGACTAAGACGACTTGAGAACGTACTATGAGCCAAACTGACATGACTTATAATGTAAACTAGAAAGAGACGATAAATGAGGTACCATCTTCTGAAGCTTGACAAGACTTGAATAACCTAAACGAGCATGGATAATTAGGGGAGAGTCTGAAGTAGAGAAAGCTGAAGAAGAAGGAAAAATTTGATAGAGACCATGAAACTCATATACTCTAGTAATCACCTTCCATGGTAATCACCTTCCCCGAACTCCGATCCTGCAAAATGACAGAAGTTTTCATAAAGAAAACCACACAATCAAGGGATTTGGTTAAACGACTAATAAAAAGTAAGTTAAAAGAGAAATCAGGAACATAAAGAACTAGATCCATAGATAAAGTAGGGAAGAGAAAAATTGTGTCGATCTTATGGGATTGGAACAAAGACCCATTGGCCATAGTAATAGTAGAATATGAACATGTAGTACAAAGAGAGGTGAATAAGTACTTCTTACCAGAAATGTAATAAGAAGCCCCAGAATCAAGAGTCCAAGGGCCTCGAGATTGTAACTAAGATATCCCAACAAAGTATTATCAGATGGAGCAA